ACCACTCACCAAGCCTGACCTTATCTGGTTCACTGACGGCAGTTCCTTTAGGCAGAACGGCACTCATTACTCTGGATACGCCCTAGTTTCAGCCACTGAGATTATAGAGGCCAAAGCTCTGCCTTCAGGAACTACCAACCAGCAGGCCAAACTTGTAGCGGCCACTCGTGCCTGTCTCCTAGCACGGGGCAAATCCCTCACCCTTTATACTGACTCCAAATATGTCTTCCATAGTTTATTATCCCATGCTGCAATATGGAAGGATCGAGGCCTACTTACCACTAAAGATAATGCGATCACTAATTCAGCTCTTATAACCAATTTGATAGAGGCCTCCCACTTACCCACCCAGTTGGGAGTTGTCCATTGTAGGTCCCATCAGAAGGACAGCTCTCTTATTACTGAGGGCAACGCCAGGGCTGACCAGGCGGCACGAATGGCTGCTATCTCTTCCAAGTATGACCCCCCTGGGGGACATATAATGGCTGCTTTAGACTGCCCATCTGAAGCCCCTACTTCTTCCAGTAAGAACAGGGATCTTTTTGAGTTCCTCCATACTCTATTCCATTCCAATTCTCAGTCTTTGCCCCTCTTTTTACAGAGCTTCTTCTCCCTCAACCCCTCTGACAAAGCCATGCTACAGAATATAGCCTCTAATTGTCAGATCTGTCAGCGGACCAACCCTCATACACCTTTAAGACCTAAACCATTTCCCTCCCACCGAGCTCGGGGACACATTCCTGCTGCTGACTGGCAGGTAGACTTCACCAACATGCCTGCAGTACGGTGCATTAAATACCTCCTTGTCTTTGTGGACACCTTCTCTGGTGGGGTTGAGGCATTTCCCACTTCCAATAAAAAGGCTTCCTGTAGCTTCAATCCTACTGACAGACATCATCCCCAAGTTTGGTATGCCCACTTCCCTACAATCAGACAATGGCCCTGAGTTTATTTCTAGGATCACACAAAAGGTCTCTCAAGCCCTCTCCTTCAAATGGCATTTCCACTGTCCATATCGCCCCCAGGCTTCAGGGAAAGTGGAAAGGGTAAATCGGACTCTGAAGGAAGTCCTTACCAAATTAACAATGGAACTAAACTTAGACTGGGTCAAACTCCTTCCCTTGGCTTTGCTTCGGATCAGAGCTCTCCCTAAGAAACCATCTTTACTGTCTCCCTTTGAGATAATGTATGGAAGACCTCTTATACCCCCGGGTTGGTCATTTCACAAGGACCTCTCACACGAGATTTGTCTTTATCTCTCTTGTTTCATCTCCGCTCGGAACTCTGGAAACATCAAGACTGGTTTCTTCTGGACCCAAACTCCTCTCCAAACACTCTTCCCTTAACACCTGGGAGTTTAGCCTATTATAACACCCCAGAGGACAAAGGGCCTCTTGCCCCAAAATGAGAAGGCCCCTATCCTGTACCCCCACCGCCGCCAAACTTTCCTTACTTGGCAACCCTCTCACCCCCTGGATTCACATTTCTAGGTTGAAGCCATATTACCAGGAGGCCCCATCTGCTGACGACAAGACTACCCCAGAGGAGCCTCAAGAGTCACCTCCTAGACCTCCCCTTTACTCCTGCTCTCCACATCCTAACTATCCTCTAAAGCTTCGCCTGTCTCGCGTAACTGCCCATACTCCACCATGACTCCCACTTTTCTAAGTGGTATTTTCACAGTCATCACCCTTCTCCTGGGGACATCATCCTCCTCCTCCTATACTTGGAGATTCAAAGTCAGAGAGACACATGTCCAAAGCAGCACTCGTTATAATCGCCTAGTTTCTTCGGTTGATTGTGCCGCTACGGGATGTAATGCATCTATCTTCCTTCCCCTCTCCTCCCAGAATTCTGAACTTTTAAAAGCAGCCACTAGGCTTTACCTTTTTACTTCTTATATGATCAGACAGAGGATTACTGCAAATGGTGGCCCGAAATCTATGGGGGGTGCCCCTACTGGTCATGCAACGTTCATAACCCATGTGCATGCATCGAGGATTCCTGCGTTGAAAATTTCAGATTGATCTCGGGGGGCTATCAATTGGCTATCACTGACCCTAACCATCCACGCTGGACCTCTAGGGTAAATGCTTCCTTCTACTGTGACATATTCTCTCCCACCCTCTGTGGCTCCATCTCCATCTCCCGAGAGCTTCAACCCTCCCAGCCCTCAGTAGCTATAATCTCTACTGACATAAAGCATTCCGAACAGCAGTTGTTAGACTCCATACAGGATCCATATGAGCCTAATGTCGGGAGTTCACCACAGTATTCATGGCTACGACTACTTACTGAAACTGTAACCTTCTTAAATCTAACCCTCCCTGCCATCACACCAACTGATTGCTACTTATGCGCCTCTCTGACTCGACCTTTGCTTGCAGCGGTTCCCTTGAACTTCTCGGCTCTGACCTCTCAAGTTTCTCCACTCCATCTGCCCGCCGTTCTCTCTAAACCCTTTTACCTGACGCTCCATTATGGGAGCCTGAGGAGTCTAACCATACTGTGATTCCCTGGCGCTGCCTCCTGGGCTTGGGTGACTCCCAAAGTTTTGCCACTCTAACATCACCTTTAACTTCACCCTCTATGCACCACCTGGCTCATTCTTCTGGTGTAATGGTTCTCTCATCACTATCTTATTCACCAACACCTCTACCCCTTGTATACTGGTGATGCTTGTCTCACAATTGACTCTCTATACCCCAGCTGAAGTGCAGGCCCTCTTGTCTCCCCCAGTGCGGAATAAGCGGGCTGCTTTCCTTCCAATACTGGTGGGTCTCTCACTGGCTGCATCTGCAGCGGGAGCAGGAATTTCTGGTGGAGCTCCTGTACACTCCTTTTGGGCTGTACAGGACTTAAGTTCTAAATTTGAACAAGCGCTCACTTCTATGGCAGAATCTCTAGCATCTTTACAAAGGCAGGTCACATCCTTGGCTCAAGTTACTCTTCAAAATCGACAAGCTATAGACTTACTCACAGCCGAAAAAAGTGGAACCTGTCTCTTCTTGAGGGAAGAATGCTGTTACTACATCAATGAATCAGGCCTTGTGGAAACTAATGTAGTCAAGCTCACCGACTTGGCTACCTCTTTGAAAAATCCACCAAACCAAAACCCATTTGCCACCTTCTTTTTAGCCCACTTCCAATCGTGGCTGTTGCCTCTTTTAGGGCCCATATGTCTCCTTTTCCTGATGTGTCTGTTCCTGCCCTGTCTGCTTCGCTTCCTACAGGGCCAATTACGGAAGATCTCTAACCAAACTTTCAACCAGCTTCTGTTTAGGTACTAGCAGCCTCTGATGACCGATGAACCCCCAACATCTTCAAGAGAACAGCTCACTCATTGCTGAAGCTCACTACCAGGCGCGATGGAATGCAACGGACATCAGACAGTGAGAGACAATGAGCCCGGAGAACCTCTTAATCTGCCATCCTGGATTCTTGAGCCTTTATGTCCTTTTAAGCCTCCTCATGGCCCTTGGCCTCTTCTCTGTCAGTCCCCCAACATGGAACTTCTGTCAAAAACTGACATTTGCTTTAATTTTTATCTTTATCCTGTTTTTGTTCGCTCTGATCTTCAGGTGCTGGTGACGCCATGTCAAGGCAACGTTTACAGTATTTCCTAGAGTCTCTGCTACAGGATCAGTGGCTGATACCAACTATCTCCTCCATCCAGGACTGGTTCGATGCCATCGATGACTTGTGGTTTCAGGGAACTTTCATAGACTTCACCCCTACGGAAGTAGCTGTCTATAGCCACTGGGTTTTATTTCTGGTTGCCATGATATCCCCAGACCTGCCCCCGCCCAACATTCCTCCACTTCCCCTTCTAGGCCCTACTCCGCCCCCGCACAGCCGGAAGCAGCCAGATCTGACCAATGATGCCCCAATTCCTAAGAAAACAAAAAGGGAGGAATGTTGGGAAAACATATAACGGCAGCACACCCCAGAGAAAAACCCCAACATGGCGCCTAACGACCCTCTTTCTCTTTTTTCTTTCACTGGTGTGAAACGTTCCTGCCGGCGCCAATGTTCAAATCCTGCGAGTGGGAAACTTTAGCCCCAATAAGAATTCTTTTTGGGCTCCGGAACTGACATATGGAAGAGCTTGCCAATAAACAGGTGATCGGTTATCTACCTCAGCCCTGCTACCTCTCCTTAGATCTATATAAACACACAGCCTTTTGTAATAAAGCGGAACCTTTCCGGTGATTTGTGTTGTGTGGTGTCTCCCATTCGTAGTGCGGTGCAGCATCTTACAAGTCCCATTTGTTGATTCTTGTTATTAACTCTTGTGCTATGGGTGTTCTATTAAGACATTTGGAGCCCGACCCCACAATATATAGATCGGAGCCAACTTTTTCTTCTATCAGACGCAGAGTCTCTGATTTGATATCAAGCTCCTTGATCCATTTTGAGTTAACTTTTGTGCATGGCGAGAGAAAGGGATTCAGTACATTAAACTATTTTTAATCAACTTTATAATTATCTGGTATAGAACACTCTTTTACTCATCTTACCTCATTTTGTACACACTGCCTTAAGAGGTCATGCTTAAGTTCTTTTGCTTTTTCCAGTCCAGAATCTAACAGAATCTTCATTCCCGAGCCTACACCATCACAAATAGCACCCATGAGTTCCTCCTAGGAAAAGTGTTTAAGCATTAACTGATAAATTCAATTTTTAAAATAATTTTTAAAAAATATAAGATAATTAAGTTATTATTAAGTTCAACTAAAGCTAGAATAAGAACTAAGAGTCCACTAGGAAATCAAATTGGCAGAACTATTATTTAGTATTCCACATATAATATGTAAAGAATGTTTATCATTCTAGGCAGGACACTATTTTTCTGGAACACAGTAACATTCTATATAACATTGTTTTCTTTTGTAATTAAAGCAAGCAAATATAAATCTTCTAGAATTACAGAGTTTTTCATGTGTTGACTGGATAAGAAAACCTTCCATGGTAGATAGCCATCACCCAACCGAGAACTCAAAAGGCAAAGTAAGGTTTGTAAAATCATCCAGTATATTTAATCAATTCAGACTGAAACAATTTTAAATCTTATTGCCAAACAAAAGTACAAGTTATTTTGAAAAATAAAATGCATCTGTTATGTTTGTGAAACTAAAATAAAAAAATCTCTAATGTTCCCTCTGATCAAGTCTTTCAAAACTCACATTGATAAATTACCTGGATATTGGCAGACTTATTGTTACCATTTTGCAGAAAATATAGCTTGTTTCCTTTGAGAACTGCTAACTGTCCCACATACTTAACAGCTTGTTGTACAATTTGAATCACTTTATTTTGAGCCTCTTTTACCATTGATGAAATATCTGAACAGCATCCCTATGAGATAAAAACAGATAAGTGTATCAGACTCATAAGATTATAATAAAAAATAAACAATCTTAAGAAAATAAATTGTTGAGAGCCACAGCCCAGTCAGAATGATGCCTGGCATTTGCCGGAGGGAATGGTTGTAAGGTGACGCCAGCAAACCATTGAGATGATGATTTGAGTTAAGCTATATATATATATATTTTTTTTTGAGTTTAGTCTTTGAATTACCCTTTTTTTTAAATTGGTTGTTCAAAACATTACAAAGCTCTTGACATATCATATTTCATACATTAGATTCAAGTGGTTTATGTGACACTGGATTGATTGTATTGTATATTTGACCTTTACTATCGGGCAATAGAGCAGCTCTTGCCTCAGGCACCCGCTACTTTAGAGTTCCCGTGAGTTCTGGCGGGGGTTCAGGGAGATTGGACGGAGCCCCGTGGAGGGAGTGTGTTCCTGTGTGGTGTGTGCAATGCCGGTGAGAGTTGGGGAATAAAGAGTTGCTGTTTGAATCTACAAGGCTTTGTGGCGGCTCGGTTATTTGTGCCCAGCCAGACTGTGGCAATAAATTCTGCATTTCTTGACATAATGACCACTCTTCAAAAACATGTGATAGAACCAGAAACATGCAGCCCTATGGCTACTGAAGGTGACAGTATGAATAAGAGACTCTCCTCTCCAAGACCTTACACACTAATAGGGGACATAGGGCAAGTGTGAAAAAAGTAGATAAAAAATAGAACTGATAAGTGAATGACAGAAGAAAGGAACAAAGTGGTGGCTTTTTTACCTTTCAATTTTTCCTGTCCTTATAAGCATCTAATAGATAGTGTTTTTGTTTCTCAGGGGAGAAGAAAAAGGAGAGTGAGAAGACGATAAAAACCCCAAACCTTCAAACAAAAGGATTCCCATAGCTAGAGAAAAATAAAGGAAAGAAGGCAGTGGTGGGGGGATCAGATATCATAAATACATAAGGAAGCTAAGTACAGCAGAAGGTAGAGAATGAAAGGAAAGGAAGGAGGTGGGAATGGGAGGAAACTTGCATGGAATTCAATAAAATCATGCTATATGCACATACAAAGGTACCAAAGGGAATTTAACCTTTATATACACGTAGAAAGTACCAATCAAAAATAAATAAAGAAGTGAAAAGATGATCAGTAAACCAGAGGAAGGAGAATAGGGGGAGAGACGAGGGTAGAAAAAGGGTGGGGATGGGTATTAAAATAAAATTCGTTATATGTATGATTTTGTCAAAATGAACCCAACTACTATGTATAACTATAATGTTTTAAGAATTTTAAAAAGCTAAATAAACAAACATGTCCTTTATATCTCAAAAAAGTGGGGGGCCTTCCCACGTGCACTCAGCACATATCCAAAGGCACGGGGAAGCATCTTGCAAACCATTCTTTCTCTTTCCTGCCCACTGCTGTGGCTCTTAGAGTACTTCTCTTGGACTGCTTTCTGGAAGATGCTAACTGTGTTGCTACAAGGTAAGAAGTCTCAAACTATACTTCACCAGAAAGTGCAGTAACTAACACCAGTTTTGCCAGCTTCACACAAGATTCTCAAGGGCTCAACCTAACTTCCTCTCTAAGCCACCTGGCTCTCCATCCTTGGTTCCTTATAAAATAGGTTGAAATCCATGTTAGGTTCAAAGTGATCTTTCCAGCTTCTTCAACAGGCATTTTCTTATAATTTTATTTCATTTGATAATCACAGCAACCCTGTCAGGAAGGCATTGCTATTTTTATTTTCTAGGTGAGAAAATGGGAGACTCAAAAAATTAAGAAGTTTGCTCAAGGATACAAACAAATCTAGCAGGGGTTCAAACACTGGATTCAAATATCAATAGTGGGATTTTGGTCTGTGTGTGTATTTTGTCCCTACTATTCTTGTATTGCATCTGAGAGTCAACTAAGCATACCTCGATCTCCTATGTCTATCACACACCATCCTGCAGCCAGATTCCTTCTTTAGGCCCAAATCTAAGCCAGACCTTCAGCTTTTGTTTGGCTCATTAGTTTTGCTCTCTGTCCATTCACACCTTGCATTTTCATGGTTCTGCACTCAGTTTTTTCTTCATCTACTACTTCACCATGTCTATTTGCAATCCTATAATCATTCTATTTTCTCATTACCTACGTCCAAAGTGACTCTTCATCCAATGTAAATTTAAAATTAATTCAATAACAAGTATACAATTGAGCATCTATCATAACAATTAGGCTTTGAGAAGATGCCCACAATCCCTCTAACTTATCAGAGCTTAACACAGCTTGCAAATAGCATATTAAAGATATACATGCTGGGTGCAGTGGCACACGCCTGTAATCCCAGCAGTTCGGGAGGCTGAGACAGGAGAATTGCGAGTTCAAAGCCAACCTCAGCAATGGCAAGGCACTGAGTAACTCAATGAGACTCTGTCTCTAAATAAAATATAAAATAGGACTGGGGATGTGACTCAGTGGTTGAGTGCCCCTGAGTTCAATCCCCAGTATTAAAAAAAAAAAAAAGGATATACGTGAGTAAAGTACAGAGTTAACAGAGAAGCAAATAAGACAGGCACCTAAGTCTTGGCAAGACTCAGACTTCCTTGGAGAGAACAATGGCTGTTAAAAATAAACATCTGATATTAATTTTACTTAGTTATATCAGTCAATTAAAAACAATTTCCAAATCCCAGTCAGTAAATACCCACTTAGGAAATACATGACCCACCAAAAAAACTGAGGTATAAAGTCTCTTGGTGGGGCACTAGAACATAAGATTTAACCAAATAGTCTAGAGATTTTTGTCATGAAGTCTAATTATCCATTTTCTAAAATAAAACCTAACTTCTTGGTATTTTCTCAACATCTTCTTTTGTCTCTTCAAGAAATTCTTATAGAGGAGATCACTGACTAAGGCAATGACTAGGTAATATCAAATATCAAGTGCTCACTTCTTCCATAGTGATCGAGTTCTTGATTTTTAGCTTGTTACAGAGGCATAGAATAAAAAATGAATTTCCTAATGATACTTGCAGCTAGATGTAGACAGGTGATGAAGAAAGCACAAGAATACTATGGTTATTTCCAGAAACTTCCATCAAAAGAAGGCACAAATGGTATAATCCCACTGATTTGGGAGCAGGAGGCTCACAGGTTCAAGGCCAGCCTTAGCAACTCATCGAGGCCCTAAGCAACTTAATGAGACCCTGTCTCAACATAAAAAATAAAAAGGGCTGAGTGGCTCAGTGGTAAAGTACCCCTGTGTTCAATCCCCAGTACAAAAAAAAGGAGGAGGAGGAGGCATACTTGGCCTTTTCTTCTTTGTTACTTCTTTCATCCTTCTGCACTGAACTAAGGTAGAGTTCCATCACAGTAGACCATGAAATCAAGGGCCATGTTTTAGGCAACGCAGAAGGGCTGGAAAGAGCCTGGTTCCTGCAAACTTAGTGGAGCAAAGCACCCAAGCCTACCTCCAGATTTTATGTGAGAAAAAATAAGCTTTTGCCTTGCTTCTTCCTCATAGCCAAACCTAATCTCACCTGATACAAGGTAAGCAGGAAACAAAATCACTTTCCTTGCTTCTATGTCAGCAGGCTTGTGACTAATTCAGCATGAGCTAAAACTCAATCCACAGCCATAGCAAGACTGCTTCTCTCCCCAGTACCCTTTATTGAAGGTCAGCAGAGAATAATGGCAGAGTATGAGCTGTGGACCCAAGACAGCCTGGGTTCAAATATAACTTTCTGTTCACATCTGGCCAGTTAAGTAACACCAGATGGGCTACATATCTTCTCAAAGCCTCCATTTCTTTGCCTATAAAACAGTGATAGGAGTAGTCACTTTGGAGGTTCTTATGAGGATTAAATGAGTTAATATCTGTAAATCATTTAAGATCACTCAGTACACAGAGAACCATGTAAGTCCTGGTTCAACAAATCAATTACAAACAGATCTAATTTGTGGAAAATGCAGGTAGTGGAGAATCAATACTGAATAAATAAATGCATCAAATAATACTAAGGAATCAATTTACCTGTAAAAATAACTGTAAGTAGCCTCCCAGTTTTTTAACTTCTTGTCTTAATTCATCTTCAAGTGTTGCTAAATCAGTACAAGGTAGAAAATCATTCAGCCAGTGTTTGATTAAAACCACAAGCTGCTCAAAAGCACAAGCAATCTGGATAATAAGTAACTGGAGTGTCCGATCAGAAGAGAACACTTTGAAAGAAAAAGAAAATTATTGTTAGAAATAATCTCCAAATAAAAGAACCAGCATATGCTCACCATTAAAACACTTTAAAAGATGCCTGCCAGATGTGTCAAATAGTCATTCAAAACAAAGTATAATGTGCAGAAAATAATCATCATGTAAGTAAAAGTGGGATTGCTTACAATTATCTTGACTTTCTTCATCTTGTTCTTCATGAGCTTTGGAAATGACAAACAGTCCATTATAAATTTTAAGAAAGTTATTTATCAGGCTATCTGCTATTGTTTCTTCTTCATCATAACTCTGTCCAAGAAAATCTACTGATGAACCAATCAATTCTTTGCAAATTCCAGGGAGATACGATTCTGCTGAATTTGAACAAATGGAGTTTGATTTCTCCATTAAGCCTACATCAACAGAAAATAGTCATCATTAGTTAAATTATATAGGTAGTTCCACATAGAAATTTATGTAGTGTATCCTCTCTTCTATTTATAAATTAATGTTATAAGGAATATTGGCACAAAATAATTATTCAGAGAAATAATTTCTATAACTTTTATTTTGAGTTTGTTGTTGTTCGGTAGTGCTGGGGACTGAAAACCCAGGACTTCATACATGCTGGACAAGTGCTTTACCACTGAGCTACGCCCCTAAACATTTTTGTCAATTAGTATGGGGGAGGGCTGGGGATGTGGCTCACCAGTAGAGCATTTGCCTAGCACGCATGAGACCTGGGTTTGATTCCCCACATCACAGAAACAGGAAATAACTTTTTATTCATTTATAAAGATATATGTGACTTTCACATTTGAATTGCCACTCTATTAAAAAGCTTTAAAATAAATCGGAGTATAGAATTTTAGAAGTGGAAGAGGTTGTCCAACTCACCCTCCTCATTTTACAGAGGAAACACAAGTTCCAGGAAATAAAATAATTTGCACAAGGACACAAAACAAGTGGTGGAACCTGGAATTGGTGCTTTTCTCACAGTACAGAAAACTTGAAAAAAATACCTGATGAATGTGAAGAATGCAAATTCTGAATTGGGTGGACTTGCATGTCATGTAAACAATCAGAAATTCTTCTATTCTTCATCATACTCCTGCTCCTAAAAAAAAAAAAAAGACAAACCATAAGATCAGTAGTTATACACCACAAGAAATAATATTTCTAAGAATGTTTATTTTTGAATTATCAAAAGAAAATGAATATGTATGTGTATGTTTTCCATGAAAGGCCTAATTCACTTGGATCATTGAGCAAAGATCTTACTATTTATAGGCATTGTTCTAGGCATATAGTTAATTAAAGAGAATAAATTTATAGGCTCTGGATTATGATGAAACATGGCAAACATGGCTTCTGGCCTCACTGAACTTAAAGTTCAAAGCAAAAGAGAAATTGGGCAAATAAGTACAATGAAGAGACGGTGTTATGAGGGCCTAGAATGCTCTTGCAGGCCCTGGAGAAGAACTTCGCCTGGCCCAAGGGGTGGGAGGGTCCTCCCTGGAGCAGTGACCCTGAAGGATGAGCAGAACTAGAGAACTGGGGGCAGGCTGGGGAAGCAGGGAACATTGTCTCAGACACAGGCACCAGGATATAGGAAGAGGTGTAATAAATTACACATGTAAAAAACCCAATGAGATCCAAAAGGACTGCAGTTTGTGGTGTGAGAGAGAGGCAAGGGATGAGGCTGGGGCCATCCTGAGGTTGACCTTGTGTACTAATTAAGGAAGGTTGGATTTTATCCTAAGCATTTATTCAAGGAAGGACTGTAAATAGGGAAATGGTCTAGGTAAATAAACATATAGGCAAATATCTACAATATGGTGTGCTACCTGTGAGGTATGGCAGGAACACAATGGACGCAGTGATTCTATCCCCACCAGCTCCGTCTTTTTCCCTCAGCCTTTAAAAACACAGAAATCTCTCCAGAGATTTTCTGGCTATCTAGCTGCTACTCTTAACTGTTTCTCCAAAATAGAGCCTACTCTTTCTGCTCCTAAAAAAAGCAGTCTCCTTTCCATGCTGCCATTCATGTATCAATTCTCAAACTCCAAGCCCAGCTCATTAGGACAATTTGAAAAGTGACTAGATGTAAATATGAATCCTTTGATCTAAATGTGGCTCCTTTGTGTTATTTTCCTAACAAAATTTTCTCCTACTATTGATCACTCAAAGAAAAATACTATTTGTTGAAAAGATTTTTAAACAACAGCATTCTATCATATTAACCTAAATATAAATTCTGCCTCCCTGTGAATTCCTACAAGAAAACACAAAAATATGACTGAAAGGAGAAAGAAGAAATATCAATTCTCAAATATTACAGCATTTCTACTTAAGAGAAATGAAATGGTACATTATTATAGCAAGTCTTAACTGGGGAAACTGTTATTCTTGCAACACTATCACAGTTGAACAATGTTTAACCCCAAATAAAGAAAATGCTTGTCATGATCCTTTCAGAGAGTTTTTACTTAACCTCAAGGGAAAATTTACTTTTAAATGTCACCAGTACATATCAAAATTTATAGGCAGCCAAATCAGTCTATTTTATTGCAGAACAACTGTGGCATATCATTGCCGAGCAGCAGTTTTATAATTAAGAATCTGTCACTGTTTCCATTACCTGCAGGCATTTTCAGAGTTTGCAATTCTGTCATAAACATTCTTACAAGGCTGAAACTTCATACACAAGGTCTCAGACTAAGATCAATTCATTTTTTAAAAAATATGATACTTTCAAATTACAGAAGTTCTCAAAAATATCTCTGCCAAAAGAAAACACCTAATTTCAAAGTCTTAGAAAATATTAAGAAGTGTTGATTTTTCAGCAACATTTTAAACTTCTGTTGGTTTCCTATTATTAAAGTCAGCAGGAAATAAGATATAAACAGCCAACAGTCAATAGGCTCAAAGTTTAGTGCTCATCAATTATTAATGTTCATATTGTGATCCACAATTCTAAATACATACCTGTATACACTTGTTTATGATGAAAATAGTAAGATACCTGTAATCCTAAAGTCCAAAGGAATTTATAAATCACTCTCTAAAGAATTTGTTGGTCTGGTTTACATTTTGGGGAGGTTTATATTATTCTAGGCCCAAGTCTTATCTACCCAATTCTACCTATGGTCTTGTTTTGCTCACTTTAGTGCCAAAGCCTATTCTGAGTCCTTAATACCTGTAGAGAGCTGGGGATGTGGCTCAAGTGGTAGCGCGCCCGCCTGACATGCACCAGGCACGAGGTTCGATCCTCAACACTACATAAAAAATAAAATAAAGATATTGATTGTGTCCACCTAAAACTAAAAAAAATAAATATTAAAAAAAAGATCTGTAGAAATCACTGTTTACTTATATTGGACCAGAGATCATATCTTCTGTTTTCTAAGATATAATTTTATACATATTAAGCACTCAATAATAGTTCAAGCTAACATTTATTGAACACCTACCTACTGCAGTAGGATCTTTACACACATTTCCTCTAATTCCCATAACAACTCTGCAATGTGGACACTGTCAATCTGTGTTACAGATCATAGTTGTCACAGAAGCAGCATGTGAGCTGAATCTTCATGATAAACTCCTGTAGAGTAGGTATATATTGCTGTCTCCATCTTATAGATGAGAAAACTGATGCCTAAAGATGTGTGACTATACCAAGCATAGATTAGAACACAGGATTCTCATTGGAGCCTGTGACCTTTTTTATTTTCCTATGTTGTGTAGGGGGTACAGATATGTTTTGTACACTAAAGGGATGTCCTCTGTGTAAAGGATATGCTTTGTATTTTATTTAGGATAATGCCTATGATGTCTTAGCAATTTCTTACTGTAATTTAGCAGTCAGCAGATAGCAAATAAAGCAGAAAAGGGAAAGTTTGCTATAAAGTAGCTGTATGTCTTTGAGAAAAATAATAAATGAGTTTAAAATAAGCATTGTCAAAAAAAATGCTAGGCAATATCTCATCCCAAAGACAAAGAGAGTTTTTTTAATATTTATTTTTTGTTGTGGTTAGACATGACACCTTTATTTTATTTATTTTTATGTGGTGCCAAGGATTGAACCCAGGGTCTTGCACATGTTAAGCAAGCACTCTACTGCTGAGCCACAACCCCAGCTCCAGTAAAGAGTTTTTTAAAAATGAGAAAATTATGTATAATTACAAAATGTAGCATATATCGTTATAGATATGGTAAGTATAAATATATATACACATGATGTGTGTATGTGTGTATGTGTCCAGAGAAAACCAACAAGAAGTCTTTACCTCCTTCTAGAAAATGAAGAGACTGGTGCATCTGTAATGTCAGGTTCCCATTCGTCTTCAGGATCACAAAAGACATCTTCACCCCTGTTACTACAATTACTCTAAGAAAAATAAAATATATAGTTTCCATTAATTATAAGAAAAAATTATTTAGCAACTAAGGAAAAAAAGCTTACACACTTTGTTACATTTAAAATATAAAATTAGCAAAATTACAGGTTATTTGATAAAAGTAAAAAGAAAATAATCCTGACAAAATTTAAAACAAATCATCTGATGCCAAAGTTATCTTGAAAGTGATATAGTACTAAAAGCAACCAATTAAATATCTCAGAATTAAATATCTCAGAAATAATAAACTTGGCATTAAGAAGACATATTAAAAACAAAACCAATAAAATCCTTGAAAGAAAAATAAATAATCTGACAAAGTAAAAGGTGCAATGACTTCTTGGTTGAATATATTGATCATGATGATAATCTTCATTTTAATTTAAGTAAGGGAATACCAATTAAATTCTACCAAAATACTATGTAGCTCTTAATTGAGACAGATTACAAGTATGTGGAAAAATAAGTAAAGAACTACAATGAGTGGTTGAAATAGGAAGTAAGATAATAGTGAGGGTAACTCATCACTAAGGTTTAATGTATATAGTAAAGCAAGAACATTCAAAGGCTTTCAACGGTTTTTTAGTTGTATTAAGTACACAATCAAATCACATTCACTGTAGAAAAACTGGAAATTATTAATACATATAAATTCAAAGAAAAACTCAAAAACACAAACCTATCATTTTAAGAGAAACACATTTCAGTATGATATATTTCAGTCTATTTTGATGTTCTATTATGAGTATACCTTGCATTCCTGGAGTAAACTCTACTTCAAGTATTAAATATCATTTTGAGTTTGATTTCCTAATATTACTAATATTTCACTCATGGTTTTTATAGCTGATTTCATATTAAGGTTGGTTTATCATTCTCTTCTGAGTCATCTTTTCAGGTTTTCTGGGAGTATTTATTTATTTAATAGGGTATCAGGGATTGAATTCAGGGGCACTCAATCACTGAAACAGGGTCTCACTGAATTGCTTAGTGCCTGGCTTCTGCTGAGGCTGGCTTTGAACTCATGATCCTCCTTCCTCACCCTCCCGGGCTGCTGGAGCCACTGGGATTACAGGTATATGCCAACATGCACAGCTAGATTCACTAGTTATTAAAATACAAATTGAAGCAAACTGGTAATTGGTAAGTGGCAACATTTCTGGAAAGCACTTTTGTCAATGAACATCAAAGTGTAACAAAAAATTAATATCTTGGTACCATTTTGAAAAACAGAAGGCAAGGAATTGATGCAGAAATATTCTTAGTTGTGACCATTAAAAGCACAAGGGCTGTAGGTGTGGCTCAGTGGTAGAGCACTTGCCTGGCACATGTGAGGCACTAGGTTGGCTCCTCAGCACCATATACAAATGAATAGATGAAATAAAGGTATTGTGTCCATCTACAACTAAAAAAATATTTTTTAAAAACATAAAACAGAAAATAAGTGGAAACACTCAAATGCGGCAACAGAAAAATGTAAATATGTAAAAATGCACATTATCAGGCATAGGAAAATAATTTCAAACAATGTAAGTTGTCTATCAAATCTCTTCCTTCAGTTTACATGCAAAATTTTAAAAATATACAATTATAACTCAATAAATTGGCACTAAAATTCTCTACCACTTATAACCATGCTAAAATAAACCAACAAAATGCCACTTAGACACAAAAATAAAGTACAAAATTGTTAGTGTTGGTTGGTTTGGGTAATTGATAGATTATCTTTTTTTATTTTTCAAATTCTTTGCCAAGAATATGTTACTTTTATACTTTTGTTTTGAAATGTTTATAGAGATTTTAACAATATTCCATACCTCATAAAGTTCTTTCATTGCTGCAAGTTTAGATTCAAACTTTTCCAGACTCCAGAAAGTTGAGATCCCAAGTTGTAGGTTACGAACCCGAATAGAAGTTTCACAACTACCTTTATCTGATGCATCATGTCTGAAAGAAAAATTTTTGAAATGCTATCCTAAAGCATACACACCCATTCATATGAAATTTCTGGAGCAGAAAAACCCATAAAAATTCAGTCCATCAGTTAGACATGGGGTTACTATCCCAATAACTCAGAAGTCTGAAGCAGGAGGATGGCAAGTTCCTGGAGAGCCTGGGAAACTTACCAAGACCCTGTCTCAAAGTAAAAAATAAAAAGAGCTGGGGATATAGATCAGTGGTAGAGGGTTCCTGGGTTCAATCCCTAGTAGCAAAATTAAAAATAAATATTCAGCCAGGCACGGTGGTGCACCCCTATAATCCCAGCAGCTTAGGAGGCCACAGCCACTTAGCAAGGCACTAAGCAACTCAGTGAGACACTGTCTCTAAATAAAATACAAAGTAGGGCTAGGGATGTGGCTCAGTGATTAAATGCCTCTGAGTTCAATCACCAGTACCAGTAAAATAAATAAATAATAAATAAAAATTCAATCTATTGACTAAATCATTCCTTAGCATTTTTATTGTAATATTAATCACTTTTTAAAAATTTTTTTTAGTTGTTGATAGACCTTTATTTATATTGGTGCTGAGAATTGAACTCAGTGCCTCATGCATGTCAGGCAAGTACACTATAACTGAGCCACAGCCACAGCTCATAATAATAAACACTTCTGATATGTATTATAAGACCCTGCATTTGATCCTCAACATGGGGGAGGGGTGGGAAATGCTGGTAAACAAATTTTCAATTCAGAAGAAAATTAGTAAATTCCTAAAATATTTAAATTATTCTGCTTATAAATATACTACTATACTAATTGCTAAAAACACTTTTACTCTCAAGTGAGTCTCAAAGTGTCATGAAGGATTATAATACCAGCTCTTCCCTAGACATACACTGTACAATAAACTTTAGAGAAACTAAATTTAAAAAACAAGATTGTATGTAGATCAATTAGTTTAATAAAGAACTGCTTTAGCTAGGTCACAGTGGTGCCTACCTGTAATCCTAGTGGCTTATAGGCTGAGGCAGGAGGATCGTGAGTTCAAAGCCAACCTCAGTAAAAGCAAGGTGCTAAGCAACTCAGTGAGACCCTCTCTCTAAATAAAATACATACTAGGGATGGGGATGTGGCTAAGTGGTTGAGTGCCCCGAGTTCAATCCCCAGTACCAAAAAGAAGAAAAAAACAAATAAAAAAATTTCTTTGTAATCAGAATAATTAACTACTTACCTGCCAAAAACATAATATTTTTTAAATTTGTTGCTGATGGCATTGGCTTCCTGAATCATCATTGAAAGCTTCATGGAGCTCCAATTTGGCTGAACTAATACAAAGCATACAAAGAAGATTCAAAATACACATATGATCATTAACACACATCACTAGGCAGAACAATTCCAGAAAACAAAAGATTGATTTTAAATAAATGATTTTAAATCTGTATTGCAGAAGAATAAGAATAAAATTTGAGTAATTTTCCTTTAAATCTCATTGTCAAAATCAAATATTCTTCTAGGACCTGGTGGTGCAAGCTTTTAATTCCAGCTACTAGAGGTTGAGGCAGGAGGATGGCAAACTTTAGGTCAGCCTCAGCAACTCAATGAGATCCTATCTCAAAATAAAATAAAATAAAATAAAAAGTGCTGGGACATAGCTTGAGAGTAGAGCATTTGTTTAATCTGTGTGAGGCCCTGGGTTCAAACCCCAGTACTGAAAAATAATTCTTCATATAAAATAAGGTCTCTCACCTGTGGAAGGACTGAAAACTGAAGTTGATATAGAGTTAAAAAGACCTAAATATAAATTAGGAAAATGGAATTTGTAGGTAAATTATTTTCCTTTTTTATTTTTTTAAAATGTTATTCCTACAAATATAAATGTGTGTGTGTATATGTATTTTTGCAAAATAAAGGGATGTGGTTCTATAAAAGTAAGGCTGTGTTATACCGTACCTGATACTTTAAAGAAATTAGGAAAAAAATGAACAAAAAATTAAGGGCACTTTACCACTGAGTTACATACATCTCAGCCCTCATTTTTTATTTTCAGACAGGGTCTCACTAAGTTGCTCAGGCTAGCTTCCAATTCACAATCCTCCTGCCTCAGCCTCCCAAGTTGCTGAGATTACAGACATGTCCCACCATGCTAGGAAAAATAAAACCTTGAAAGATATCAGAAAAACTTTGTCTTTGGTGTTTCCTCTCTATACAAAATTCAGCTGCATTTCTATACACTAACAATAAAATATCTGAAAATATTATGAAAAAGTTCCATTTATAAGAGCATCAAAAACAATAAAATACTTAGGAATAATACTGTGGAAGAGAAAAGATCTGTGCATAAAAATACTAAAATGCTGATAAAAGAAACTGAGTACACAAATGTTCTGATATGTGGATGCTAACACACAATGAGGTGGGGAGGGAAGAATAGAAGTTCACTGGATTAGACAAAGGGGAATGAAGGGAAGGGTGGGGGTTGGGAATAGGAAAGACAGTGGAATGAATCAGACATAACTTTCCTATGTTCATATATGAATATACAACCAATGTAACTTCATATCACATTTAACCACAAGAATGGGATCCTAATTAGAATAAGTTTATACTCCATGTATGTATAATATGTCAAAATATACTCTACTGTCATGTATATCTAAAAAGAACAAACTAAAAAAAAGAAACGAAACGAAACTGAGTACAGGTGTCAAATGCAGTGGCATATGCCTATACCCCAGCATCTCAGGAGGCTGAGGCAGGAGGATCAAGAGTTCAAGGACAGCCTCAGCAATTTAGTGAGGCTCTAAGCAACTCAGCAAGACATTATCTCTAAATAATATATAAAAAAGGGCTGTGGATGTGGCTTAGTGGTTAAGCATCCCTGGGTTTAATTCCAGGTACCAAAAAAAAGCAAGGAGTTAGGGGTTGGGGCACAAAAGCACAAAATGGAGGAATTACATGTGGTACTTCTTCAGGACAGTATTGCATAATGGGGTAATTACAGGTGAAAACAATCTGTGACATATTTCAAAATGACTAGAAGAGTACAAAGTTCCCAACACATAGCAATAATTAATATTTAAAGAGATGGAAATGTTTTTTATCCTGATGTGATTAGTACACATTGCATATATGTATATTTAATTACTATAATATACCCTACATATTATGTCTCAATTAAAAATGAAAAAGAAAAAGTGGTATAATTGTAGAATATTATCCAGCCAATAAAAAAAGGAAAGAAATTCTGGATAACATTACGCTAAGGGAAATAAGCCAGACACAGACAATTAGTGCATGATCTCACTTGTATATGGACTCTAAGTTGAACTCAAAGAAGCAGAGAGAAGAAGAGTGGTTGCCAGGAGCTACAAGGTGGGGGCAATGGGAAGATTGTTGATCATAAAGTGCAAAGCTTTGGGTAAGTATATTGAACAAGTTCTAGAGATCTAATGTACCACCTGTGATATTGTATACTTGAAATGTGCCCAGAGGGTAAATCTTAATAATTCTCACCATACAAGTTCTTATTGCTGGCCAACTCTTACATCCCCAGCAACTCCACCAGGCCATTGGATTTTTTCCATTATGTTCATTACCCTTGTACCATGTACCTCAGATCTATCTCTCCCTCTCCCCCCCCCTCTCTCTCTCTGATATAGTTTCTTGTCTTGGATTATTATTTCTTTTTTTAATTTGCTTTAAAAAGAGTGTGATGCCATATCAAGTCAATGTCATTCTCTCACAATGTACTCTATAAGAGGTGTGGGTGTTTATTTGGTCGGGATGCTAGAAAGTGCTAACGTAGCATGATGAGGTTGACAAAAAAAAGTGTTTTAGGAAGTATGGAAAAAAATGTATTGACTATGATGGTGACATGATAAAAGTCAGCTGCCTTTTAAGCAGTCTTATCTGTTCAGTGTTAAGTGATTTTAAAAAGTAATAACCTGTTCTTTTGACTAGTTTAAAGATGGATTTGAAATTGGTTTTGGATGCAATTAGGTTATGCTATTTGGACAATAAACTTACCTTGACATAAAAAAAAAAGAAGAACAATGGCAATTATTTGAATACTATTAATTATGCTAATTAGTTTAATTATGCTAATCATTTCCTAATATATATAAACATATTGTATACCTTAAATATATGTAATTTTTTAAAAAATTATACCTCAGTAAAGCTAGAAAAAAAAATCTCTAAGTAAACAAAATGCCCAGGATTAGTACAACTAGATATAAAATAAAGATTTAGGTTATAATAATATATGTTTTAAAAATTATGTTGTACATTAAATAATACTTGGAACTTTGTTTACCATTTGCTTATTATTTTTTTGATCTGCTTTAACAAATTATCATAGCCTGAGTGGCATATAAACCACAGAAATTTATTTCTCACAGTTTTGGAAGCTGGAAGTCCAAGATCAGAGTGCTAGCATGGCTGGGTTCTGGTAAGAGCCTTCCTTTGAGTTGAAGACTACCATCATGTTCTTGTCACATCTTTGGTTGGTAGAAGGGATGAGGAGTTTTTCTAGGATTTCTTTCATAAGGGCATCAATTTAATTCATAAGGACAGGCATCAATTTCATTCATAAGGATGGGGCCCTCATGACACCTACCAAGGCTGTATCTCCCAATGCCACCATATTGGGAGTTAGAATTTAAAAATATAATTTTTTGTGTGGGGGGGGACACATTCCATATATTGAACTCATATAATTAAGTAATCTAAAAATTGAATATTCTAAAAAAAAATACACACAAATTTATTGAAGCTTGGAAGAGTGGCAACATCTAGAATAAAACACTTTTACTAAATAAAGGCAACCAACAGCTGGGTGTGGTTGTGCACATCAGTAATACCAGTGACTCGAGAGGCCAAGGCAGGAAGATCACAAACCTAAGGCCAGCCTCAGCAACTTAACAAGACCCTGTCTTAAAATTTAAAAAATTAAAAAAAAAAAAAAATGAGCTAAGGAATTAGCTTAAGTGGTAGAGCACCCCTGGGTTCAATCCATATTACCATAAAAAAAGAAAGAAAAAAAAAAAGAGGCAATCAACATTTAGTCATTGTATGTAATAACATACATAACTTTAGAAAATGTCTGCTAAAATCAACACATACTCACTTACTTATAAAAGTTTTAGCCTTATTACTCCGATTCTGCTGTAGAATTTGTACTTCTTTAGCAATTTTTTCCTTTTCCTTTTCCAAAGCTTCCAGAATTCTTGCATGGCGGATGCTGTGGTCTTCTAAAGCCTAATTGATATTCATTCATATAGACCCACACATGAAGATAGGCAGAGAAATTATAAAATCAGATTGAAATGATAAAAATGTTAATTAGCTTCTCTACAGTAACCATTTTATCATTTAGATGTATCCTATAACATCATGTTAAATACCTTATGTATACAATAAAATCTATTTTAAAAAAATAGATGAATAATGGTAGCACAATAAAATTAAACCTCATGATAGTATTCATTTCATGGTTAGTATGTCTTATTAAAACACAAAAGGGTTTTTTTTAATGATTTATAAAATTTCTTAATAATATGATTTTTTTCATCACAAAATCATTAGGAATTTTTAGTGGCACAAATTAATCTTTTTCTTTCCACTTATAGGAAGTAAATAACCTTTAGAGAAAAAAAGAGTGTTGAAAAAAAACACACATTCAAGAAAATTTGTTGAATGAATAAAAAATTTTTTTAAAAAATTCACAAATAGCCTCCAAATAATTGTTTTTCAAGATTTCAGCAGTGGTACCCCTTACACATCAGATACAGCACTAATCTCTAGGGTATATTAAGAACTCAAAAAGCTAAGCACCAAAAAACAAATAACCCATTAATAAATGGGCCAAGGACCTGAACAGGCACTTCTAAGAAGATGATATACAATCAATCAACAAATTTATGAAAAAATGTTCATCATCGCTAGCAATTAGAGAAATGCAAATCAAAACTACTCTACTTCATCTCACTCCAGTCAGAATGGCAGCTATTAAGAATACAAACAACAATAAGTGTTAGCAAGGATGTGGGGGAAAAAGTACACTCATACACTGCTGGTGGGGCTGCAAATTGGTGCAGCCAATATGGAAAGTAGTATGGAGATTTCTTGGAAAATTGAGAATGAAACCACCATTTGATCTAGCTATCCCTTCTCCTTGGTCTATACCCAAAGGACTTAAAAAGAGCATACTACAGGGACACAGCTACATTAATGTTTATAGCAGCACAATTCACAACAGCTAAAATGTGGAACCAACCTAGATGCCCTTCAGTAGATGAATGAATAAAGAAAATGTGCCATATATACACAATGGAATATTACTCAGCACTAAAAGAGAATAAAATCACGGCATTTGCAGGTAAATGGATAGAGTTAGAGAAGATAATGCTAAGTAAAGTAAGCCAATCCCAAAAAAACCAAATGCCGAATGTTTTCTCTGATGTAAGGAGGCTGATTCATAGTTGGGTAGGGAGAGGGAGCATGGGAGGAATAGACAAACTCTAGATAGGGCAGAAGGGTGGGAGGGGAAAGGAGAGGATATAGGGTTAGAAATGATGGTGAAATGTGATGGACATTATTATCCAAAGTACATGTATAAAGACATGAACTGATGTGAATATACTTTGTATACAACCAGAGATATGAAAAATTGTGCTCTATTTGTATAATAAGAATTGTAATGCATTCCACTGTCATATATAAATAAAAGAAAATAATTAAATTTTTTAAAAAAAGACTTAAGCATTGGTATTTTTCTTCCAAACTCTCCAATGTGGCTCACTAGCTACTACTGTCCTGGAGCTGTCGAGTAGTGTTATCTCTGTACTAACATTTCTTTGAAATTACTAGGAGTATTTTCTTCCAATCCTACTCCCATCTCCATTCCACAAACATGGAAGAAAGAGAAATAAAATTGCCATTTCAGAATAAAACCTTAAGATATAAGGAAACAAAGTAAAGATTAAAACAGTTGGTCTCAAATTTCAGTATTCATCAGAATCTCCTGCAGATCTTGCTAAAACAGATTCCGGGCTCTGACCCCTGTGTTTCTGACTCGTGGTTATGGAGTGGGACCTAAAACTTTACATTTCTCATGGATCTCCAGATGATGCTGATAATGGAGCTGCACTTTAAGAACCACTAATATAAAAAAGCATTGTCAGTAAGTTGACAAAAGATATTAACAGTAATATTTTTATTTTATCCTTCAGTTGTGTAAGCTTGGTTAATGTGAGTCAGTCCTAGAAAAGTTTCTTCTGTCCTTGATGATATGATAGAAGTAAATGCCTAAGCTGGCAAGTCTGGTGTATGGAATGCCTTATGGTGGGCTCTTATTAGGAAATTCCAGCTTGCTGTTCTTTCCATGGGCAGACAATGTTTCATTCTGACATTCCTTCTATACACTGAGCCCAACTATGATTGTACTTTACATTATCTGGCATGATTGATGACAGGACAGATGTAGATGTATACAGAGAAAACTGGGATGGAACTAGCTGGAAATAAGAGTGCTCTCTGCAAAACACCTGTGTGATAATGTGTGAGCGTGAGGCAAGAGGAGTCGTTTCTCACTTAGGGACGTGGACTTGTCTCTGGCCTATTAAGATATTAAACACTTTTTTTTTTAATTTGTTCTGTTTAGAAATACATGGCAGTAGAGTGTATTTTGACATATTGTGCATACATGGAGTATAAACTTAGGACCCCATTCTTGTGGTTTCATATTCAAATCAAACACTCTTTAAAAAAAAAAATAAAGAGAAAGAGAAAGGAAGGAAGGAAGGAAGGAAGAAAATTCAGCTTCCCTTCAGAATACAGCAAACTTAAAATGAAATTACCTGCTTCGTAGCCAAAGTCTCCATTTCTAATCGCTTTTTGTTGACATATACTTCCTGTTCAAGATGTTGCTTTGCCTTTTCTAATTCTTCAATTTTGTGATTAGCCTTTTGGTTATTTATTTCTTGCATTTTCTTCCTTTGAGACTCTTCTCTCTTTAAAGAACATTAATAAAAAATAACTGAGGCAAAAGTGCAGAGCATTTTTCAAAAACATTTTACCTCCCAAAAGTACAAAAGTCCTTCCCTTTATCAATGCAAAAGAAATTATTATTAAGAAAGTCCTGTACTTGGTTTCATTCAGATTAATTCATCTAACTAAAAAGAAATGTCATTAGTCAAACTTTTTAGAGTACTCTCCTCTAAAATGTGTTTCTGGGAATGCAAAATTATCAGTAAGCCATGGAGAGAAGATACATCTCAAGTGGAGAAGACAAAAGCCTCTCCATTTTCTTCTTCCCCCAGTAGTCATTATTTTCTACCAACTTATTTCCTAAAGAGGGCCTGGCCTCACTGTGGCTCTCTCTAATCTCTGATACTCCCCCAGTTCCTTTAGAAGGACAATCAATTATACAATCAACACATCACTTTGGGTGCACTCCCAATTCTGCATATTACCAGTTCTGTTTCCAGGGCTTGTATTTTGCTTTCATATGCAGCTTTTTGAGAAGAAAGCTCTTGCTGAGCCATTTCTTTTGCAATTTGAATTCCCTGCATCATTTCTTCCTTTGCCTTCAACTGTGCTTCTTTTATTTCGGCTTCAAGTCTATTGAGGAGCAAAATATTTACAGAATACGCTGTCAAGAATTCTGTATATATCAGAGCAGTCCTTGATCATATTAAAATGTTTTCCATTGAACAAACATTAAACTGCAAAAATTTCTGACATTCAACAGTGTTCTTAAATTTTTCATTGGCTCTAGAATTATTTACACACAAGAAAATGTAGAATGAAAATTTGCTTATTTTTAACTTAGTTACTGCAAATGCCTGATATGTGAATGAATATATTTTTCTAAAGCGTAAGGAAAATAAATTATATAAAATGTTATAGTAAACATTACAGTAAATATTATATAAGTTAGCATTATAATAAACAGAAAATAAGGTTATTTTATGTTAGACTAAACAATGGATACAGCAAAGTAAGACTTCATATTTCTATAACTTCTTTTTGTGTTTGGGTCCATAGATTAAGAAAATACTGAAATGACTGCAAGTACATGATACCAGAGCTGATAAAGCAGAAACTGTATCATATATTTTCAATCATTTGTAATAATCTGACGTTTTGATAAGTCAAAACATTAAATTGGCTATATCACTTCTCAATATACAAGAGAAAAAAAATTAATGATTACAGAATAAGATAGCTTCTTTCTTCCCATAAAATCAATATTTTAACACTGTAGTGCAAAGAAAAAAAGTAAGAATGTCACTAGGAAATAAGGCTAGTGGTTACCACAAGTAGAGAGAAAGGAGAGTGAAACGCCACTGCTTAATGAATATAGCTCCAGTTTGGGCTGATGAAAAGGACGGTGGTAATGGCTGCACAGTGTGAAGGCACTAAATGCCACTAGACTGCATACTTGAAATGGCTACAATGCTAAGTTTCAAGCTACATATATGACACCACCAAGGGAAAAAAAAAACTAAAGTGGGTAAAAAGTAGGCTTGGGTTTTTTAAAAGACTTCCATGCAGCATTCGCCCACTCCTACTAGTCACCTTGATTCCTCTTCCTGCTGGCCTTTAGTCAACAAGACTTGTTAATTTTACTTCCTTTGTATGTTTCTCCTATCCAACCACACTTTTCTTACCTTTCTTCACTAATCTCTCAACTGCTCTGGAGGCCTGGAATCTTGCTCTACCTTTAATCCACCCTTCAGATGTGGATCAGAGTGATCTCTAAAACTGACTCTAATCATGAGTGTCTCATATCAGCTTAACATTCTTTTTTTTTTTTTAAGGTGATATTATTTATTTTATTTTTAATTTTATTTTAATTTTATTTTATTTTTATGTTTTAATTAGTTACACATGACAGTATAATGATCTTGACATAGCATAAATTTGAATCAGGTGGGATATAATTTCTCATTTTTCTGAGTATACAGTCATGTATATACCCCAGTAATAATAACGTCTATTTTATTCTGCTGTCCTTCTATTCCCCCCTTCCCCTCCCCTCCCCTCCCCTCCCATCTCTTCTCTCTACCCAATCTATTGTGATCCACTTCTTTTTTTTTTTTCCCCCTCACATCTTCATACTGTATTCTGTATAATGAAGGATTATGCTAAGTGAAGTTAGCCAATCCCAAAAAAACAAATGCTGAATGTCTTCTCTGATATAAGGGAGGTGACACAAAATGGGGTAGGGAGGAAGAGCATAAGAAAATTACCTCTAGATAGGGAAGAGAGGTGGGAAGGAAAGGGAGGGAGAAGGGGAATTGCATGGAAGCTTAACATTCTTTAACAATTCTCCTCCTTTTAAGATAAAGTCCACTCTTCCACAGATCATTATGTATACCTTACCGTTCAGCTAACAAGGACACAGCTTAAGCCAGAAATAGTACAATAATGCATGGATTAAAACTGGGGCAAAAGATAAGAAAAATAAATGTCCACTCCCCCAGTCTTCTTAGGGGCTAACTTCTAATAGTCTCTTGGGACTCTGCTCCAGGGACATCTTCTCATCCCCTACAAACCTTCACTGACTCTTGGTAGAAACTAGGTGTCACCCCCTAAACTTCCACATCACACAGTGCAAGACTCTGGCACCACTATCCATAAGTCCTATGAGATGATGAATTCCTGCAGGATAGGAGATAAGTTTCAACTACTCTTCTTTGTATCTCTAGCACTTGGTACAGTGACAAACACATAATAGATTCTTAATAAATGCTCGTTGAATGAATGAATGTACCAAGAGAAAAAAAATGTACATCACTAAAAATTAGCAATCGAAGACTTAACTCCTGGAAACTACCATGATGTGATTAACTCCACTGTAGACCTTTCTCACATACTTAATATTTCACAACAACAATAATACTTACCGTGATCTCTGTCCCAAAAGTAACTCATTTTTGGCAAATTCAAAGTCTTTTAGACCCTCACTTATAAAAGTATCTCTACTGGATGGTCTTTTCCCTTTCTGGACTTCAACAGGATGATTAAATCTAAAATAATGATCTCCACCAAGAATCACCCGATCACCCTAAAACACACCAAAAAATTTGTTACTTGTAGTACATCTGAACCAAAAAATTACATGAGAAAAATCATTAGTCAACAATTCAAAATAATCTAGTACTACTAATGATAATGTAATCATTAGTATTACTAATGATAACATAATCATAGCAACTCATTTGTTAAATACTTTCTATATGTCAAAAACTGTGTCAAGCACTTCATACACACACATCCATTGAAACAGAAAGAGAGTATAAAATTTCATTTATGTATCAGAGCAACTCAATAAGATACATGCTATCCCAATTTTGGGAAAGAGGAAACTAAAAAGTTTCCTTAATAACAGACCTTAAATAATAACAACATACTCACTGAGAGCTTACTCTTTGCAGGCAATGTTTTTAAAACTATAACAAATTGTTTTATTTAATCTTCCACTATCCCTGAAAAATAGGATATATAGAGAGTGAACATACATCTGGGTTTGCCTACAATAGACTTGTTTATGCAAGTTCTCCCGATGTAATTATTAATAATGCTCTAAAAAATATCTTTGTGTGAGATCATTCAATCATCTGGCTAAGTAGCCAAAGATCACACAGCAAATGGCAGAGCCAAGATTTTAACCCTGTCTGGTCTGCTTCCAAAGCCTAGGTCTTCAGAAGACACATAATAATTTGTCCATGTTCAGTTCTCCAGTTACTACTTTGAAGTAATATAAGTTTTGTCTTGGTACCAAAGAAGGCAACTAATGAATTAATAGGAAACAGAGTTTTTGAAATGAAAAAATTCTTAATCCAGTTCAATTCCCTTGTACTACAACTCAAAGAAATTAAACAGCATGCCCAAAGTCAAACAGTTTCTTATGTTGTAGCACCCATCAACTTACATGATGTAATACTGTAGGTTCCAAAATATCTTTTCCATTTACATATGTTTTGGCTTCCCCAATTGGGATAAGACTCACTGTCCCTCCAAAGTTTTTGATAGTACTGTTAAAATAAGAAGCACACATATTACAATTACAGGATACTCTGAAAAGTTAAGAAAAGGCCAGATGGCATAATCCTGCTTGGGTTATTCTCTCATGTTAAAAGTTCACATCAGTTTGTAGTAAAAATAACTCAAAATTATTTTATTTTCCCTCAAATTTCAAACCTTCATCCAGATTTTGAAGCTTAGTGAAAAAAGTCTACCCTCTCCAGCAATTCTAGCCACCAGTTATGGGAAGAATTTTCATTGTATGCATTTTAACTTATTTTTAAAAAGAAAAAAAATGTAAAAGCCTTCCCCCAAAATAAAAAAAATACATTAAAAAATTAAAGAAAAAGAAATTAAAATATTAACAATGTTTACCTATGAATGGGATGGTTTTAAGTGTTCTTATTTTTTCCTAAGTTTCTGGCTTTATAAATAAACTTTAATAATGGAACGAACAACATTTTTCCCTTATGAAGTGAGATATTATATTGAAAGGAAAGACAGGGAGATAAAAGCATATTCTTTAGTCACCTAATTTTATGGATCCTGACTATAAGATGAAAATGGAAAATTAGCTAGAGAGGCCATATATTCTTTGGAGTATTTTTATTTGAACAATAGGAAAGAAATTCCAAAGAGCTAACTGGACAGAAAGAGAAAATGGTGGCCAAAACTAAGTCCTAACCAAAGGACTTAGCCACAGATTAGGCTCCAAGATCTGTAATAAGTATTAAAGAATAATAGTTCATTCAAGCAACACAAGAAAAAATTACCTGGGAAAAACAGTTCACATCTATGCAGCATAGAGTACTAACTATAAGTTTAGTGCCTTAGCCAGATAAAGTTTTAAACAATGTTCACCTATTCGAACTCCTTCCTTTCCTAGTTCTACCTACTCTATCATCCAAATTCCATGGCCTAGCATTCTGGACCCCACACAGTCTGGCTGTAGTCACCAGTTTCTCATCTGCCAGCATTTCCCCATAAAAACTCATCTCACAATCAACCATACCAAGACCCTGACTTTGCCATAATAAAGACTTTCCTCCTTTTTTTAGTCATTCTTTCAACGTAGAATGTTCTCTCCCTTGTCTCCATCATCCTTCAAGGCTCAATTTACATACTAGAGTCCTCTAAGAAGCTTTTCTTTGGGGCTAGAAGTGAATTTTTCCCTCTCACTAAGTATGTAATACTCATCTACACTTGAGTACTGATAATGATGTCTTTTATTCATGGGGACCCCATGAGCCAGATGTGTGTCAGCAGTGAAGATAAATATGAAACCAGCTATCACAGAGTTCAGTCTAGTGAGTAAAAACAACAATGACAAATGCACTAAAAGAGGAAGTAGGGAGTTCCAAGGCAAGTCAGCCCCAGCCCCTAGGCAAGAGTCTCCTAGCCCTTCAGTGGACTTCTTCCCCGACAACTCTAGTACTAAGGATAGAACTCAGGGGCACTCTACCACTCATCCCCAGTCCTTTTTGTTTTTTATTTTGATACAGGGTCTACCCAAGTTGCTTACGCTGGTCTTGAACTGTAATCCTCTACCACAGCCTCCCAAGTTGCTGGGATTACAGGTATGTGCCGCCACACCCAGCTCTCTACCACATTATTGGTTCTTCGGGAGTATGCTCTGTATCTTTGCCACTGATGTAAATAATACTATATTTATTAACAGAAGAACAGAGGAACTTGAAGCATATGGCAACTGTCCTATCAGATATAAAGACTCATTATAAAGCAAAAGCAATTAAGAATATGGGGTGTCAGTGAGAAGAAACACATCTCATAATTATAGAGGTTTTTTTATTTTCTTATTTTTATTTTTTAGAGTTTTTTCATAAAAGCACTGCAGAACACAAAAGAAGCCATATACTATTTAATATAAGGTACAAGAATTGGTTATTCCTATGAAAAATAAATTTAGATCTCTACTTCACAACAAATAAAGTTTCAGACTACTTAAGGCTGTAAATAAGAAACAAAATTTCAAAACATCAAGAAGAAAAATTAAGGAAACATTTTTATGACTTCAATGTAGAAATATCCTTTTTTAAAGGAAACACAAAACTTAACAACCGTCCGTAGGGCTGGGCATGGTAGTGCAGGCCTATAATCCCAGTGGCTGGAGGCCTCAGCAAAAGTGAAGCACTAAGCAACTCATTGAGACCCTTTCTCTAAATAAAATACAAAATAGGGCTAGGGATGTGGCTCAGCGATTGAGTGCCTGTGAGTTCAATCCCCCGTACCAAAAAAAAAAAAAAAACTAACAACCATAAAGGAAAATATTCATACTGGGTACTGAAATAAAATTAAGAACTTGATCAAGGGCTGTGGTTGTGGCTCAGTGGTAGAGCACTTGCCTAGCACATGTGAGGTACTGGGATTAATCCTCAGCACAACATAAAAATGAATAAATAAAATAAAGGTATAAAAAATACAAATTTTTAAAAAAGAACTTGAATCAATTAAAAGGCATAAGAGTATGGAAGATGAGCCTCAAGATAAAAAAAAAAATGATACTTCCAACATATAAAACTTACCAAGATTGGCAACCAGATTATACAAAGAACTCTTACAAATCATTAAGAACAAAATCAATCTAATTTAAAAGCACAAAGGACAAGGCAAGTCAAAAAGAGGCTCAGCCTCATTACTAGTCAAGGAAATGCAAAGTGAATCCATAGTGAGAAAACTGTTTGACATCTACCAGATTGGCATTTAAAAGTCTGACAGTTCTAAGTGTTGGTGATGAGGAGAAGAGGAACATTCAGTGCAACGGGAGTAGAAACTGATAATCATTTTGGAATACAATTTACAAATCTCTAGTAAACTTGAATAGGCACATACCCTACAACCTAATATCTCTAATACACACTTTCTAAACTTTAAAAATCATTATAGCACACTTTAAAAATCATTAAGCAGCTTGGGGAAAATAGACTGCTCTCTGGTCTGATGGGTCAGGCCTCCCAAGTTCTTACAAGCTTCCCTGAGAACTCTTAGGGTCAATATATCACCTTACCATCTGGGAAACTTCTCTAAAGAAACTCTTTACATTTGTATCAGGAGATATGTTCAAGAATACTCAGCAATATTGTGGTAGCAAAAACTTAAAAACAACCCAAATATCTATGAACAAAATAGACTAGATTATAATAACAGATAATTCATATAAATGTAATACTTTAAGGGAAGCATGAACATGGAAGAATCTCAAAAACACAACGTAAACCAAAGAAGTTTATAAACACTATCATCCCAATATATACAAGAATCATTCCACTCATAAACAAAATTAACATAAAACAAAATTTTTAAATAGGTCAATCTAACTATTCTACCACATTAGATAGATGCAAATTTACTTTTATGCCCATCATAATTCTAAGAAAATAAATTATCCTTCAACCAACAGATCAAGTACACCAAAACAAAAATACAGGGAACATTACATTTTATCTTATATTGAGAGTAACTCACCTGCTATCCTTATACAACACTGTTTTTTCAGGCTAAAAAAGATAGATTTGAAGAAGTACTGCAAAGAATCAGTATAAATGAATACCTCATATAAGGAAACCCCACATCAATAAGAAATGGAAGTCTACTGAAAAATAAATAGAGGACCTTTGGTTTAGAAAATTAACATACCAATGATCATCAGCAATCAGCACCCCAGATAACTGAATATCATGGCTTGAGTTTGATTTATACTTTCCAACTGTAGTTACTCCTTCTTTTATCATATACAGCAGCATCTCTGATAGTTGTGGATCTTCATTGAGATTAACAAGGTTTGGCAAGTGGTTGGCCATTTGAAATGTAATTCCAGCTTTCTGGTAGAAGTCAGAAAAAAATAATCTTAATCACAGCATGAAATTATTAAATTCACCTAAAATGAATATCAAGTTAACCATTAGAACCATTCTCTGTGAAGTCTCAATAAAGTAAAGGTTTCTTGGAGCCGGAGGCATAACTCAGTGGTAGAGTATGCTTAGCATGAGCAAGGTCTTGGGTTCAATTCCCAGCACCAAAAAAAAGAGTAAATATTTGTTAGAATTTCTCCTTTGTGACTTGTCTGTGACTGTACCATCATACTCAAAGTTTTTGAGTTCTTTTGACATTTCTTTTTCCTTCACAAACCTCAGTCCACTTATATATCAACCCAGCATCACCTGTGTCTATGCTTACTGCCCGATTGTCTTTAGAATGAACCAGTTCTTTTTGTTGCATTATCAAGGGCCATTGGCATAATTTAAGCCCTTATAAACTCACACCAGAACCACTAGAGCAGTAGTTCTGAACTACTGGATCACCCTGACAACAATTTCTTCTGTTTTCAGCAATCTTCCATCCTATACCATATTAATTATCCTAAAAGAAAATGTCAGTTCCCTGGACACAAACTTTTTTTTTTGGGGGGGGGGGGGCGGCGGTTACCAGGGATTGATCTCAGGGCCACATGCTCACTGAGCCACATCCCCAGCCCTATTTTGTATTTTATTTAAGAGACAGGATCTCACTGAGTTGCTTAGTGCCTTGCTGTTGCCAAGTCTGGCTTTGAACTCATGATTCTCCTGCCTCAGCCTCCCGAGCCACCAGGATTACAGGAATGCGTCACAGCACCTGGCTGGACACACACTTTTTGATGCCCTTTTAATTCCTTTGGATAAAACTTGAAGTCCTTAATAAACTAACCATAACATCTCTTTCTAATTTTATGGCCTCATATGAGCTGCTTGTTCTAATAAACTGATCCACACAGTCTTCTGAGGGCATATTAAACTTTCCCTCCTTTCCTCTCACATATTTCCCTTCCTACAATGTTTTCCTCTTTTTTTTTCTGCTTATCAAATTCTGACTCAAGCTTCAAAGCCAACCTCATATTGCACCACATCTATAAGGTTGGACTGGCCATTCCCAAGGAATTTTCCCTCATTCTCCTGAATTCTTAAAATACTCCCCTACTACTTATTTGAAATAGCTTTGCTGCCACTACCTTTGCTCTTGACTCATCTTCTCCAATCTCTTTTAGAATTTCACTCCACTAAAGAGTTCTGATTTCAATGAAAATGTTCAAGTACTTTCCCACCCTTTAAAGAAATAAAAACCAAAAAATCAAACTTTACTCAACCTTACAGCCCTTCTCCCTGTAATTTTCTCATTTTCAAAGAGTTCCTATGTGTGGTTCTATTTCCTGTCTGTCATTCTTCAACCCACGGTCATCTGGCTTCTTCCTTTATCACTAGAATAACCTCATAATATCACAATGCAATGCACATATTTCTGAAAGCTGGGAGTCTTTTGGGGAACAGGGGGAATACCAGGATTAAACTCAGGGGCATTCAACCACTGAGCTACGTGCCCAGCCCTGTTTTGTAATTTTTTTAGAGACAGAGTTCCACTGAACTGCTAAATGCCTTGCTTTTGCTGAGGCTGGCTTTGAGCTTGCCCTACGGTCTTAGCCTCTCAAGTTGCAGGGATTATAGGCATGCACCACTATACCCAGCTCGGGAGTCATTCTTTTTTTTTTTTTTTTTTAGTTGTTCTTAATTTTTCTTTTTTATTTATTAGTTGTTCTTAATTTTCCTTTTTTTTTTTTTTTAAAGCGGGGAGGCATCGGCACGGGAATACTAGGGATTTAACCCAAGGGCACTTTACCACTGAGCTACATCCCCCACCGTTTTTATTTTGGGACAGAGTCTTGCTAAGTTGCTTAGAGCCTCACTAAGTTGCTCCGATTGGCCTCAAACTTGCAATCATCCTGCCTCAACCTCCCAAGTCACTGAGATTACACATGTGCACCACCAGGTCTGGCTTGACTTTTCCATTTCTATCAATACACACATCTAAAATAACTCCTGATCCTATCAATTTTACCTCCTTTAATTTCCTGAATCCAACTCCTCCACTATTTCTATTGACACTGCTTTATGCCAAGCTGTCTTCTTCTCTTAACCACAGCAACAGCTTCCTAAACAAGTAACAGTGCCTGTCACCATCAGTCTCTTCCTCCTCAGATCTACCTTTTACTCTAACAGAAGAATCTATTGAAAACATCATCTGCCCATGTTGCTCCCCTTCCACCTAAAACCCAACAGTGTCTTCCAACCCCCTAAATACAAGTTCCTCAGCACATCATGATCTGAATCTTGCATCTTTCTAAAGTCTAAACTTTGTACCAAGTTCAATTTCCAACTACATGAAACTTCTTAATTCTCTAACATCCAAGCTATCTGTATCATGGGATTACTTAGAAATTTTACTTTGTTAGTCTAGCAAATTCTTATTCACTGTTCAGAACTCTGCTTACTTACTCTTTCTCTTTGAAGACATCCTTGATAACTTCCTCCTCAAAGTTAATTATTCCCTTTTCTCTCCTGCTTCTCTATTTTTGACATTCTTTTCATTGCTAGAATGAACCACATGAAGCTGCCAGTGATGAACCTTTTTTTTAACCTATAAAAGTGGCATTTTCATGTGATTCCATGTAACCAAATCACACCACAGTCTTAATTACAAGCTGAGAGCTAATTGTACTTATTCACCTTGGTCTTCCCTGTCCCTGTATTTTTTGTGAAACCAAAGTAAATTTAATAAGATAATTTGTTTACGTTTTAATTTTCCAACCAACATACATGGGCTCTAGGAAATCACAATTTTGTAGGGGAGTGAGAACTGGGGGTCCAACCCAGGGCTTTGAAAAAGTGCAAATGTGGGGCAGACACTTTGCCACTGAGCTACATCCCAGCATGGAAATCACAATCTTGATCTTAACTTTTTTTCTGGGTGGGGGAGGGTGTTACTGAATGCTCTAGTGCTGAGTTATATTCCAGTCCTTTTTGTTTTTTGAGACAGGGTCTCATTAAGTTGCTCAGGCTGGCCTGAAACTTGCAATCCCTCCTGCCTCAATCTTCTCAGTCACTGGGATTACAGGTATGCACCACCATACCCAGCAACAATTCTTTATATTTATTCTCTATATGATATTGCTTTGTACACAATCAGTATACAATAAATATTTGAAAAATTAAATTTATGTGTGTGTGTGTGTGTGTGTGGCCTTTATTATTATTTATTTGTTTTTATGTGGTGCTGGGATTGAACCCAGTACCTCACCCATGCTAGGCAAGTGCTCTACCACTGAGCCACAATCCCAGCCCTTTATATCTTTATTGACATTTTTCTTTCATTTTTAAATTAGTTTAGAAAGTTGAAATGTTACCTGTAACTCCTTTGTTTCTTCAAGTTTTCTTTTTTCAGCTTGTTTAAACTTTTCTTTCCATACTCTTTTCAAAACAAACAAAATAATAATTAAAACAACAAGATATGTAAGACTGAGAATGAAAAGATAATCAATGAAGATTAGAGAACTATTTAATATTTAAAATGATAGTCTCAAAGTGGGCTGCTCTATTCGTTTGGAAAGTGGTGAGAAAGGGCTGGGGCTCAGAGGTAGAGCACCTGGTGTGAGGCACTGGATTCAATCTTCAGCACCACATAAAAATAAATACATAAAATAAAGATACATTTAAAAAAGAAAAAGAAAGTGGGAAGAAAGATACACTGAATATCCTCTTTTTTTTTTTTTAAGAGAGAGTGATAGAGGGGGAGAGAGAGAGAGAGAATTTTTAATATTTATTTTTTGGTTATCGGCGGACACAACATCGTTGTTTGTATGTGTTGCTGAGGATCGAACCCGGGCCGCACGCATGCCAGACGAGCGAGCTACCCCTTGAGCCACATCCCCAGCCCCTGAATATCCTCTTAAGGTTCCTCTGAATCCTACAATCTTACAGCAACACATTTACTATTTCACCTTTGCATTTCTGCCATGTCTCTCTCCTGTTGATGCAGTTTCATTCTTAAGGATGTTATTTCTTGCCGACAGAGCCTGTATCGTTCAGGATCAATGTTCCGACTGTTTCTCTGAGCAGCTTTTAGCTTTTCAATTTCTGCTTTCAATTCTAAAGATTTGTAAAGTGTATGATTAACAGCATTTTACATATAAAATATAAAAATTTCCACATTAGGCATAATCTTCTATTTTATTTGAAATTTTAAATATTACTAAATGAAATAGAGTATTTGGACAAATCAGCTTAACTTTACTTATATGATCTATAAATTTCTACTTATCCTTGCCGGGCATGGTGTCATACACTTGTAACCCAACAACTTGGGAGGCTTAGGCAGGAAGATCATAAGTTCAAAGCCAGCATCAGGAGATTACCAAGGTACTTAGCAACTCAGTGAGACCCTGTCTCTAAGTAAAATATAAAAAGAGCTGGGGATGTGGTTCAGTGGTTAAGCACCCCTGGGTTCAATCCTTGGTACCAAAAAAAAAGTTCTACCTATCCTTAACCTTGGAGAGGGAAAAACAGCACTATCAATTATAACAGGATATAAACTGAGACTGTCTTAAGCAAACCCTACTCATAAGAGAATTTTGACATCAAACACATTATTTTTCAAGCTGGAATTCAGAATACTTTTTTTTCGTGGTGCTAGGAATTGAACCCAGGGCCTTGTGCATACGAGGCAAGCACTCTACCAACTGAGCTATATTCCCAACTCCAGAATACTTATTTTTAATGAAAACAGTTCCATTTATAAAACAGAAGGGATATAAAAAAGGATGAACTTAGAGAAAACTGATTCTGCTCTGGTTAACACCTCTGAAACATATTACCTTCTTGATGCTAAAAAGTGCCAGTGGACAAAGACATACAAAATGATGGTAGCTCTACTTAAGTTAAAATTAAGTATGAATCAAATGAAAATTAAGTACAATGCAAAGTACAAATCAAGATTCCCCGCAGGTGTTCAAGTCTATCATAAGTGGATGATTACCAACAGATAAGTAGAGAGCAATCTTTAGTGTACATGAGATTAGGCCTATGCTAGAAATTCAAGCTCAAGTAGAGTTTGGAGGAATGAACTAAGCAGAACTAATGAATGGAATGATAATGAAGAAAAGGTTATAAGAGAAAAATAATAAATAGCTACATTGTTATTTTGTGCACACAGCTATGACTCAGTCTATAAAATTACTTTTTTATTATTGCTATTATCCTTTACCCACACTCTATTTCCTATGGCATTTTCTGACTGTGTTCCCCCTTATCATTCATTCTCTTTCTCAGTGTCCTTCTACCTATCTTTCTTCATCATAGATTCTGATGGCTAGAATCTATTATAAAGTATATAAGGAAAAATATTTGATTTTCTTTAAATTGCATATTTTGAGACAAATTAATGTTACTCTATGGCAAACTAATTTTTAAATTTTGAAAAATTTATTCACCTCTAATTAACTTAGCATTCATATCTTCATTTACTTTGGCAATGTTGACTATCATCCGGGCTTGGTTAGCATATCTAAGTGTGCTTAATGTTTCTTCTATGTTACTGGCAGCAGGACTGATCGTAGCAATCATTGCAGTTTTTGAATTTCCACCTAGACTTTCTTTCAATAGCCTTCAAGGAAAAAAAACTGCAATTAGACTTTGCTTCTACAACAGCATACTATCAGTTATAATCTAGAAAGCACAAAATAAACTAGCATGGCATATAGTACAGGTTTATACTCTTTACTCAAATACCACTTAAAACTTTTTTTGTATTTGTAGATAATTTTAGATCTCAAATACTTTTTTCCTCTGACATTTTGTATGTTGTTTCATAAATCAATAATCTGTGCAGAGATTTTAAACTATGTTTAACCATCAAATTTTTAGTAAGGCACCTTTCCCCATACTAGACTGTGAGCTACTTTAGGAAAGGGATCATATGTCTTGGTCATCTTTGTATTTCTGATGTTATCACAATCATTTGAGGCAGATGCTCAATAAATGTTAAGAATAATGAATGGATAAAGAAAACCTCAGTACTGTATTGTATGCAGAATTTATAGAAAAAAGAGACTATAAGACTTAAAATATATCTTTTATTAAGGCAGAATGAATTTCACTACTTCTGATTTTCCAAAGGCATGAAAAACATCAGAATTTCTCTTATAGGTATCAAAGTGGCAACCACGTTAAAATTAACCAATTATAAAGATACAGTGCTGTTAAATAGTGATACAGTCCTGATCATAATTGTATACAAATGCTCCTTGACTTAAGCTGGGGTTACATCCTGATAAACCCATTGTTAATGCCACACAGCCCAACATCATGAGTACATTCTTGATTATCCCTTTAAATTTCCAAGTCTAGCTTCTACTGAACACATGTCACTTTCACGTGATAAACATCATGAGTCTAACCATTGTAAGTTGGGGACCATCTATCTATATTAATGTTTATCAAAAGTGAATATTAAATGAATACAGATGCCACCTCAATGGATATTCACTAATGAACACTTACTAAGTATCTATGTGCTAGCCATTGTATAGTATGCAAACAAAATTATTCAGTTTCACTTTAAATGCATAGCAATGTTTGATAATATCATAATTGTTAGGCACTAATAACAATTAAATATAAGAGTAGTTGTTACTGACCACTTCTTTTCTATCCCAAAGGTGTATGAAATCAAGTCTATCATTCTCTTCCCCACAGTACCCACTGTATTTCATGTAATTCTTTGTACTTCAAAAGATACTTGCCAGCTGGGTGCAGTGGCGCATGTCTGTAATCCCTGTGGCTTGGAAGGCTGAGGCAGGAGGATCACAAGTTCAAAGCCAGCCTCAGCAAATTAGCAAGGCCCTAAGCAATTATTAGTGAGACCCTGTCTCAAAATTTAAAAAAAAAAAAATTTTTTTTTTTAAAGGGCTGGGATGTGGCTCATAGTTAAGTGTCCTTGGATTCAATCCCTGATACCAAAAAATATGTATATAAAGAAATACATTAAAAATTTTAAAGAGATACTTGCCATGTAAGTACAGACTCACGATAAGGAATAAAAACCCTCTTTCCATTTGCTTGTTCAGAGAGTGCAGATATAACCTTTCCCAAAGTTAGCAAGGATTTGTTGATGCTCACACCTTCCTGTATATAAGGTAAAAAAAATTTTTTTTTTTTTTTAACTTCTCAGCAACAAATTTATTTCACAAAATATATTTTCCCCCTGGAGCTCAATACTAAGTAAATAGTTTCTGATATTTAAACTCCAACTTTCGTATGACTTAAAATTTATTAATTTTCTTTGTAATCACAATCAAAAAGCATGTATCTCTAAACCATCACAAGGTAGTTCATAAAGTAAAGGTAAAGAGACCTTTTGGTTACGCACATTCAATTTGTACTCTCCTAAAAATAATGCCCTCAGGAATAAATTTCATCAAAATGAGAAGAGCAAGGTAGGCAGTTGTGTGTGTGAGTAGTCCTAGCTACTCAGTAGGCTGAGGCAGAAGGACCACAAGTTCAAGAGTTTAAGGCCAGCATGGACAACACAGCAAGACATCATCACAAAACAAAACAAAACAAACAAAAAACCACAAAACATGAGATCATCATTCACCTTCAGTCGATCTCCACTAGTGTGGGCTACAGAGCAGCGCTCACTGCCGGCCAGATCTATCAAGTTTATGCGGCTCGTTATTCTGTGGTCATGTTCTTCCCCTTCCACAAATTCTGTCTATGGTGAAATGATATTAAAATAATTTAAGTTCTTCTATGACTTGCTATCAGTAGAAGTGTTTAAAGGGAAAGTTATTCAAGATTATAAATCACTAATTTATGTTAAAAGCTATCCTTTTTTTAACCATCCATTTTTTAATCTGCAATAATTTAAAAAGTCTGCAGAAAAGAATATATTGAGCAGTAGATGGATTATGCCAAAGTAAGAAAAATGACTTTAAAGGGATTAAAATCCATCACTATTCAGTTATATTAAGCAAACAACTACAAAGAAAAAGACTTGATACAAAAAGATGTATTATAATAAAAACAATTTAAAATCAATACAAATGCCTAACAGTAAAGAAAAACCTAAGGAATTGCAGTAACCAATGGGATATTTTCATACAGCTTTTAAAATTGTCAGGGCTGGAGTTATGGCTCAGTGGTAGAGCACTTGCCTGGCACGCATGAAGCACTGGGTTTGATCTTTAGCACCACATAAAAATAAATAAATAAAGGCAGCGTGTCCATCTATAACAGAAAAAATATTTTTAAAAATTTCTTTAAAAATTTCCTCTGCAAAAATTTTAATGCCATAAGTTATTAATGAGATTTTGTGAATTTAGTTTGTGATTGTAAAATAACTGAAAGATTATAAATAAAAATGTTACAAGGGTTTGAGTAGTGGAATCAATGGCTGCATTTAAAAAAATCTTTTATTCTGACATTTTTACAAATACTCTATAATTACCATATATTACTGATAACATAGTAATATATTAATATGATCATATAATTGAAATAAACAATTATTGGTTTTAAAACAATGAGAAATAATATCCTACTATATATACCAAAAGTCAAAGTTATTATATTTATTCTTAAAAGTTACTTATCTTTATGTAGCTATATGACTTTACTTTCACCTTTTGATTTACAGGAGAAAGTAAAAATAACAAAAGAAGTATATTTACTCTCTCACCTATGAAAATAATCAACAATGACACACACAAAAAAATACCTTGGTCTGGGTCATCACCAGGGTAAAAACTGAATGAGAACGGGAGCTTTTATCATTCATGCCAGTGGCAGCGGTTGCTCTTTGTTTATTTCCTAATTCTAGCCAACTCTAATAAGAAAGAAGGAAGTTCAGATGGTCAGATTATAATTTATTGGGGAAAAAAATTAATGAACAACAAAGTTAAGAAAGCACATTTGTTTCTTATATACTTTTGTAGCACCCATTTAAAATTTATAAAATGAAATTATATATATGTGTTAATAATTTGTTAATAAAATTCAATTAATGTATTTCTCTTTTAATCATTTTATTCCCATTGTCTATTTTTTTCTGTATAGAAACTCAAAACAGGAAATAATAAACTTTTTAAATTAATACTTAGCAAACAAAATCAGGGTAACCTTTTATTTATGTAAATAGCAATAAAGAAGCAATATTTTCATAAATATTTAAAATTATTCTATCTAAAAAAAGAACATAAAATATAATCAATCTTACCTGGATATCAGAGTAAGAACTGACAACATTCCTATTTTTTAAGAAGTAGAAAACAAAAGAAATTTTACTGATTGTTCACATAAAAATAGTCTTTCAATTACAGAATTACTCTCTGAAGATCAACAATAGTCTAATTCACAACATTATTCTGCTCCCAGAATCTTTCATTTTCCCTATTATTAAAGGGCAGAAAATAAAATAATCTTTTAATTTTACTAAAAAGTATGATTTTTCTAAACAAAGTACCTTAGTATCTTATCATTATAATATTCAAGTCTAAGTCATGACACAAAACTATATATTTTAACACATATGTATATGCATAGGGATATGTCTGTATGGAAATATATAGGTCCAAAAAAAATCTCAAACTTATTATATAGAGCTGAACTTACACTGAATCACTTTTCCTTTATTTTAAGAAAAGCATTTGGAATGTTGAAAGATAAGTAAATGACCCTTGGCATATATAAAACACAAATCAGCACCTTCTTCCCTTTTCAGTTTAAAGTAATTGTATAAAAAGTAGGTTGAGCTAGGCATAATGGCACGTGCCAGAAATCCCAGCCACCTAGGAAGCAGAGATAGGAGGATTGCAAGTTCAAAGTCAGCCTCAGCAACTTATCAAGGCCCTAAGCAACTTAGTGAGACCCTGTCTCTAAATAAAATACAAAAAAAGGACTGGGGATGTAGCTCAGTTTTTAAGCACCCAGGGTTCAAACCTTAGTACCCAAAAAATAAAAAAGGAGACTGTGATGAAGATTTTATCTTAATTTTATCTTAATAAGGAAAGAAGAGGGTAAAGGGAGAGAAATCTATTTATTTCACACTCAATTTAATCAATACTCTATGCCAGGCACTTTATAGGTGCTGTGAAAGATACAAACAAATATAAAAATTAAAAAACTAACACTCTATATGGAAAGAGGGAAAATTTAGTTGGACCACATTAAGGGTAGAAGGCGAAACCATTATCCAAGGTTCAGAGATGGGGAGGCTAGTGAGAACAACAGTAAGGATCCAGGAGAGCAACAGTCACTCTATCTGTTCCTCCTCCCAGCAACTTTGGAGCCCAACACTTACATCGACAGTGCTTCAACATATGGTCCGGAAACAGGATGCTCCCTTACTCTCAGCTAGTAGAAGCAAATATTAGCATCTTTAAGAATATGACAAATATTTCACATAAAATATGATTATAAATCTTTTTTTTTTAATACTTTGAGTTCAAGGTAGAGATTTTCTTTATCCAGAACTAACTACAAAGATTCTCAAAAAACAAATCTGTCAGGCACTAAAACTGCTTTAATACCAAAACTAATTATAGTTATACAATATGCAACAATATCCTCTACATCAAATGTCTTACTAGTTTTTTATTCTTAAATCCTATAATAACAATTATTTATGCTTTCCTTTAAAACAAACACTAAATTTCAGACATTTAAATTTTTCTTCATTTTCATATTTACATTTTAAACTTTGTGAGCAAAAAATTTAAAATGCAAGGAAGTTATAGAAGAAAAGAGCATTTTTGTTTAAGTTTCTTAATGTTGCCAATAGTAAACTACATAACCTGAGCAAGGAAACTAACAAGATTTTTATTTCTAGTCAGGAACAGTGGCACATGCAAATAATTCCAGCTAATCTGGAGG